ATTCCCCCCCTCACCTCTCTTCCTTTGGTCACTTCAGTGGAACCCAGCAACGGCTTTACCTCACTGAACTCAGGTCTCTCACTTACAAAGCAAGTGCTCTAACCACTGAGCTAGGACTCCACGTTATACATGTATTAGTAAGCTCATTAGAACCCTTATTGGAATCCTTATTCAAAACGTCAGTGCCTAAGATTGAGGTTGTATTAACAGTGAATTGCTATATTCTAAATAGGGAAACACTAAGGGGGGTGGATATAGATGAACAAATGGTTTTAAAAGACCAAATGCATAAACCATTAAAAACTAGTTTGCTGGTCCAGAAAATAATCAAAAAATCAAATGGGATGCTGGGCTTCATAACAAGGGGCCTGGAGGAATATTAAAACAAGGAAGAATCTTGCATTTGCTATAGTGCCTTATCACATCACCGAGACATCCTAAAGCGCTTCACAGGATATGCTCTAATGTGCATTGACTGTGTATTTTGTCAGATAAATAGGCAGCCAGTTTACACAGAGCAATGCCACAAACAGCCATGCAGTGAGTGACCAATTTTATTTGTGGGATTGTTGGCAGGACATCAGGAGAGAGAAACTCCCTTCTCTTTTGGAATAGTGCGATGGGATCTTTAATGTCCACCTGAACAGACGGGACCTCGGTTTAGCTTATCAGGCAAAGGACAGCACCTCCGACAGTGCAACATACTGCATTGGACTGTCAAATTAGACTATCTGATTCCAAGTCCTGACATGGGGCTTGAGCAACCTTCTGACTCAGAGGTGAAAGTGCCACCACTGAGCCAGACTGACACACTGCCACTGCGCTCGTTCCTGATGTGGAACTTACAGTTTGTGGTTGTGAAAGTGGCATAGATGCTTTGTCCACGACACCTATTATTGTACACGAGAAGCTGTGCCTCCCCTGCCTACTGCAGCTCTCTCTTACCAAGAAAGTCAAATATAGGAAAATCATTAGTGTTTTTATGAGTTGCACAATGCACCACTGAGAGTATTCTGTGCTAAAGCATACATTATTGGTGCATGTGGTTTCCTGTCACATTATTTATCAATGATAGCTTGATACTGTAGTACTGTATTAAAAATGTGAATATCATCCTGTGTACTTCTAGTTCCACCAGTGTGTAAGTTATCTACTCACTCCAGCTTCTCTCTTCACAATAACTGCATCTTTGGAGGAGTGAACTCCTCCAAAAAGTGTGGCTCTTCCTCTTTCCACTTCTGGTCTTCTCTAATGATTAAATGCCAAGTTGAATTGAAGAGCAACAATCATTTCCATTAAGATAACAGCAGTATAATCACTCCAGGGTACAGTGACATAGCTACTAGTTAATTCAAAGCACTTCAAGCATATAATTCTAGCAAAACTCTATTTAACTAATTTGAGCAGAATAATAATGCTATTTTCTATTTTTGGTTACATAAAGTAAAAACTGTCTAGCACCTTGGAATGTCCTTCCGATGTGAAAGGTGCTATAAACACTATACATTATATCACACTATATATGCTACTAACACATCTCTTTACCTAGCAGTAAGTAAGAACCCAGTTGTTTGTTGATTGGCAGATCGCTTTCCAGGGTAATAATCCGTCCAAAAAAGAAAAAAAACTGTGGTCACTCAATCCACAACTGTTTGTGGGCTACTGCCATGTGCAATAAGCCACTTTACAATGTATTCTGTGAAACACTTTGACACGTTTTAACAACATGGGAAGCCTCTATATCAAATGCAAGGATTATTATTATTATAATAAATGTAACTTTGTTATTGTTGTTTACTATGTGGGTATTTGTATGGGGTGAAAAATGCAGCACCCGATATCATGTATCACATTGTGGGACATTCTTGGAGGTGACCTGCAATAACCTGCACCAGGGGAAGCATTTCCAGCTTTCAAATTGTTTTTACCAAAAGCCACTTGCTCCTGGTCAACAGAGCTGTTATTCCTTCTACCACACAGATCCCAGGATATCAAATACCACTTTGGCTTAACTCGGCTTTAAAAATCAATCTTCGCATCAGCCAACGCTAAATGTTCTCCTTCAGACACGATCAGAACTTCCCCATGATTTGACCTTTCAAATAATTTTAAACCCCACTGCATAATCCATGCCTCACTCTGGTTCTGACCAGATCTCTGTTAGTCCAATTCACATACCACATATTACCCTCAAGCTCCAGCACATTCCTCCACTTCACTCATTGCTTATTGAAATATTTCCCAACTGCTTCACATAAATTCAAGTCTAAGTTTTCCCATCTCATATCTGTTTCGATATTACTTCTCATTAAATTCCGCAGAGATATTTTCTGTCTTTCTCTTTAATGGTCAATATGGCTCAGGAAAACAACAGATAAAGAAATTGACCCACAACCAGGAGTAGAAGACAATTTTCCGCCTCAGTGGAAAAGCACAGCTTTTGATATTCAGCAAGAGATTTCATTGGAAACCTTGGAGTCATAGTCCCATTTAGTTCAATTAAATTACAAACAATAAAGTGTCCTTCTCAGGCAATTGGCTGTTGTCTATATTCTGAAGTGAATGTTAATAATTTCTCTTTCATCTCTCTGTGTATAGAATATAGAGAATTAACACAGCACTTTTTTCCTCAGTTTATTTTATATAATATGAGAATGACACATATCCTCATTCACCCATAGTTTATAAGGTCTTTAGCATATCAGCCCTTCAATGTTCAATGTTCTTTGCTAATGAGTTGTCATGATCCATTTCTGCTTCAGGTTGTGAGTTCAACCTTTTTCCTACAAAATGTTCATTCCCTCTCCAACAAAACACTCACCATCCAAGACCTCATTGTTGACGAAAACATCGACATTCTCGCCCTAACTGAAACCTGGATCACTCCAAGCAACACCTTCCGCCTGACAGAGGCCACACCACCCGGCTACACCTTCCACCATACCCCTCAACCTAACCATCGTGGTGGCGGTGTGGCTCTCAGACCATCACTTCATCTCCCTTAACTCCTCAATTCCTCTCCCCACCACCACCCAACCCACCTCCATCTCCTACCGCCCTTGGAAAAAAATCTCACACCCCCCCGCCTCCCTCTCAGCTGCCTTGGAGTTATCTGAACTCCTCCCCCTCTGGGCTTCCTCCCGCAATGACCTATCCCCGGTCACTCTCCCGACAGCTCCCTCTACTCTACTCTTGATTCCCTTGCTCCCTCTCTTCCCAAACCATATCTTATACAACAACAACAACTTGGATTTATATAGCATATATTTATATAGCATGGATTTATATATCTATATGCTGCCTCTTGGTGACATCATCCGCAGACATGGGGTCAATTTTCATATGTATGTGGATGACACCCAACTCTATCTCTCTGCCTCCGCCCTTGACTCCAGGACCACTGCTGTCCTGACAGAATGTCTGTCAGACATCAAGTCCTGGATGAGAGCTAACTTTCTTCAGTTGAATGTCAACAAGACTGAGGCTCTCCTGATTGGCTCCAGTCAGCGCCTCCACACCTCAGGCACTGATAGCATCACCATGCATGGATGCACACGCCACCTTACTAAGCCAGTCCAGAATCTTGGGGTCCTGTTTGACCCTCAACTATTCTTTCTATCCCACATCTGTGCCATGACCCGCTCTGCCTTCCCGCACCTCCGCAACATCGCCCGGCTCCATCACTGTTTCACACTGCAGACGGCCGAACCCTAATACACGTTTTCATTTCATCGAGGCTTGATTATGCAAACTCCTTGCTTGAGGGTACAGTTCAAGGTCCTGGTCCTCACCTTCAAAGCCATCCATGGTCTTGCTCCTACCATCCTGCTCGCTCCCTCCTGCTTCACATTGCCCACCTCGCTCGCTTCACTATTGGTGGGCGGGCCTTTTGCTACTCTGCCCCCACCCTCTGGAACTCCATCCCACAGTCTCTCTGCCTTGCCCCCTCCCTTGCCTCCTTCAAGACCCGTCTCAAGACCCTCCTCTTCCACTGTACTTTCGATCTCCCTCCTTCCCCCCTGTCCTCCACCCTCCCCGATCCCAACTGCCAGCTTGGGTCCGAAACTCGTCTATCCAGCGACTTGGGACGTCCTCCCAACGTGAAAGACGCAATACAAATGTAATTTTATTGTTGTTGTTTTCCCTCCCCTTTTAAGTGCTGGGGAAGCAAAGCTTTGTTGGAGATGCTGTCCTTTAAGTGAAACATTAAACTGAAGTCCCATCTGTTTGTTCTTTGGATGGATATTATTAAAGATCTCATGGCAACAACAACAAAATTACATTTGTATAGTGCCTTTCAAGTCGGGAGGACGTCCCAAGTCCCTGGACAATCAGTGTTTTGGTGGGAGTCGGGATAGGGGAGGATGGAGAATATGGGGAGAAGGAGGGTGATCAAAGGCACAGTCAAAGAAGAGGGTCTTGAGACGTGTCTTGAAGGAGGCAAGAGAGGCGGCGAGGCACTTCTTGAAAAGAAAAAATAATTTTTCCTAGGAAGTAAATTCTCTAGGATCATTCACAACATGGCTATTCCTGAGACCATGCTGTACACAAAATGATTGTCGTACTTGCCTACAAAAACAGTTACCAGACTTGAACATGATTACTGTGAAGTACTTTCAGTCATTTTGATGTGATAAAGTGCTATACAAATGCAGTTCCTTCCTACCTGATTCAGCTAAATCCCAGTTTCCTCTTTAACCTCTGTTTTCCTTTGTGGAATAAAATAGTCGATGCTTTTTCCATCACCCTGAAAATTTTCTTAGCATCTCCTTAAGGCAAAAAGTAATCACAATATTTTAATGAATAATTGTTATCTGAAAAGAATTACAAATTGTGAATAGAAATGTCAACGAATAAAACAGGGTCTTGTTACAGTTGAGAACAATCTGATTCTGTCTCTCTTTAGAATTTCAATATTTGTGACACTTTTATCTGTTTCCAATTTACATTGCATTTGTGCATGGATTTGCTTTCTGTTGACTGGGTGTTTGTTCTGATAGGATCTCCATATAGAGATAAAATCACAATCGCAATCCTTCAGCTACAGGAGGAAGGAAAGCTGCACATGATGAAAGAGAAATGGTGGCGAGGGAACGGCTGCCCAGAGGAGGACAGCAAAGAAGCAAGTGCCCTTGGTGTCGAAAACATTGGAGGAATATTTATTGTACTTGCTGCTGGGCTTGTTCTCTCTGTCTTTGTAGCCATCGGGGAGTTTATATATAAATCAAGAAGAAATAGTGACATCGAACAGGTAAGTTTCATTATTTTAATTATGCATTTGCAATGTGGAGTATGTAACACAAATGACCACAGTGGGACTTTCCACCAAACATACCAGGGGGAGAAATTTCTCCTGAGTCTGGATTTACTCTCCTTTCTTAGTATTTCAAAGCATGCAGAATTTAGCAGGTTATTGAATTATTCAGTCTTAACTTTGAAGCTGGTTTTCTGTAAGTTCTTTTAAGAGCTACAGAAAACAGCCTTCAATGTTAAGTCTAAACTCAACAATCTGCCAAATTCCGGGTTCTCTAAAATGTTTAGAAAGTAGAGTAAATCTAGACCCAGACTGAATTCCCCCACCCCTCCCCCCACCTTGTTTTTTTGCCTACGACAATAAACAGGCTTTAATGAAATAAGTAAGTGTTGCATCAAAACTTAACCAATGGAAAGCTATCAACAAAACCTACTCAGCAAATCTATAAAGCAATTTAATCTTTAAGATGATTAAATCTAAATATGAATAGAGTATGAAAAAGTGGAGGGCTGCAAGCAATTTACCTACAGGGTTAGTAAAACAATGATATTTAAATGCATTTGTCAAACTTAGTGGTACCGCCATTGACAACTGGCGGTACAGATGTTAACAGTGGTTTGCATATTAAGCAAATTTAATGTTCAGGGAAATTGATACACCTCAATTTATTATGTCTCATAGATTGGTCAATACTTATCAAATCAAATATACCCTGAAGTCAGTCCCCATAAAACTGTTTCTCAATGTTAATGGAATTAGACTTCTGGCTTTCGGGTTGTAGTATTAAACTGCTGGTAAAGTGAGATACCAGCTACTCTGGAGTATTTTATTTAGTAAAAAGCTTTTATCTCACTAACAAACATGTGATAAATATCAAATGTATCACTATATTGACCCCGATTTCTATATACCATAACATAATACATAGAAAAAATATTGGGAAAACGGGTTGGGAAATTTATAATAAAGGGATTATTTTATAAATTTAATAAGTGGATATAATATTTTACAGTTAAACTCACACAAATCGTTTCTTTATAAATCGTATAATTGCTTAAGTCATACATGTAGCCGAGTCCCATTCAATCTCCTACTACTGCTTACCATTGCACAAACTGTTTAAATCTTAATTTTTTGGGGTCCCAAATAATCCTAATTCTTTTGCAAATCATCTCCTAAATTGTAACGCCACTACTGCACTTACCGGGTGCATTGAAGTGCACAGGCGCAGTGTTCCATTTGAACCAAGTGCGGGAAACCAGGTCTTGACCTGTCACTGCGTGCACTCTCACCGGCTGCAGTGATGAAGTACTGCACACTCAGTATAGTACACTATAGTACATTGTACTCTGCTGAAACAAGTGCGGGAAACAAGGTCTTGGTCTGTTATCATGGCATCAGGCAATACAAGTACAAATAAGTCCAAGTTAGTGACAAGGATATGTTTATTGATTTTGTTATGCGTTAGTCTATAAAATCTGACTTATACATAACTTTGTATAAGTCATATATGATATGACTTATGCAAGATTGTAAGTTATATTAAATGCTGTGGTCCTGACTTATGCAATTTGTGTGAGTTTTACTCTTATAAAATGTGCTGCTGGTTTTATGGATTCGCTCCGTAGTTTAAATAACACAGGACCACTCGTTTGTAACCTGCTTCTCTGGCTCGAATATCTCATGCCCAGTGCTACAATAAAGCATATTTTTGGTCATCCGGGTGTCTGACACATGTAGAAACCTTTCACCATGCTTAAGAGTATCCAAACTCATTGCTAATCCCGATCTTCTCATCATTTGAGAGCCACACACAAGCAATTTCCATCAGAGGTTACTGGACGCTGAGTGGTATTGTTCTTCTCCCTCGGCCAGCGAAGGCATGGCCCAATTATATTGACACTATTTCCACCCAGCTGAGAAGAGTTAACACAGCACAGACCAGAACTAACACTGGGTGCCTTTGCAGTCTGCATGCAGTCAGCTGCACATGGCACATTGTACTTACCATTGTACTGAGCTAACAAAGGAGCATTTTCATGGCACGTATTGATATTTTTCAATGGCACGTCTTGATATTTTGCTGCACACAGTTCGGGGATTGACCTTCTAGCAATAGCAAACTGCTACAGCAAAAAGAATGTAGCATATTCTTTGAAGTGACATAGAATGAAACATAGGTTTTAAGGGAGTTTGCTTTGATTTTCTTGACATTATGCAAATGTTTTTCTTTGGAAATTAGGAAGCACTGTTGTCAGAAGACAGGATACTATTCCACACATACTGTCACAATTGACTTTTATCTCCATTTATCTGTATGAATCGTACCGGGCCCTTAAGAGGAGTTTTAAGAGGAGTGGAAGTAGCCACCTGCACAGATCCAAACAGTGCCATGGAGACGGGTCACTTTTGTACATTGCAGTATTTGCTTTCTGGTTTTCCTCTGGTATTTTTTGCTACTGGCTTGCCTTGATTTTAGAGAATAAATGTTTCACTTTTCTCAGTCTGTCACTTGTGTGACTCCATGATTATCTGGAGGAACAGGCATGACAGTGCTGAGAATTGGTCAGGTTTTGTTTGTGTTCCAGATTACATGCACTGTGGTGTTTATTGTACACATTCAGCTGTTATTTTGACTTCTGTGTACATAGGTAACCAAATTAATTTAGCTCTCAAAGTCAATACATTCAGTACAGAGTCAGTACATTCTATTTCTAACATTGAAATCAGCTCAGCTGTAATGTGTGTTTAACAGTAAAGTAATGAAGTATTGGTGTCAGATGTTACTATAGATGAGTTACTTACAGATAAAGACTAGAGAGAGCAAGTGCTTGATGAACTACATCTTGATATAGCTGGAGCCTCTTTGGGTTCCACCTTGAGGCATTTTTAATGGGATTGCTAAATAAGGAATCCCAATAGAAATCCTATCAACCCAATGGAACAATGCTCCGGAGGTAGATTTTGTCAGAGCATAGTTCCTGCAGGTTATAGTGCATTCCAGTTATTGGCAGGAGACCCCCATTCGGATGATTTATTTAAAAATCCCATTCAGAAATACTGGAAATTAGGCCCCAGTGTTTCTGTAACCAATTGCATTATTTTTGGAGGCTCTTTCACCCATAATTTCCAAAATTAGAATCGACCTGGTGGCCATAAAGAGGTTGTTTGTTTATGTTGAATTTTTACATATGCAGCATTTATAGGCTCCAATGTCTTTAAATACGAGTACAATCCATTTCAATACAAGATCAAATACTAAACTTCCACTAAATGTCAGTTTATGGGTGCTTATAAGAAAGGACTTTCATTGGCTCATAATCCTATATTGCAGAGCACTGCTGTGAAGTTAACTGAATTGCAAACATCGTCTGAAGATAACTTTAAAGATGGCATTAAAGCCTAAATTATGCAAAGCTTTTAACTGATGCTAAAACTGGCCTCTATAGAGTTTACCCTGGGTGTAGTATTCAGATTCATCGCATGTGAAAACAGTTCACAATATGCAACCTGCTTATTCACTGTCTTATAGTAAACATGTGCCCCATTTACAATGTCATATTTTTTGATTTGCTGAATAGCTTATCAAAACAAATAATATTTCAATGCATGGATGCTTTTCACACTTTATTTTTATTTCCGCAACAGTAATTTTGTCATCTGCAATTAGCAATGAACCCATTTGATTATATCTTGACTGTACATGTTTCTTTTCGGCTAGCATAGTAATTAAACTGTCAATCCCCCTACTGCTCAAAATGAGAGAACATTAAAGAAATTACATAAACCGCTGCAAAATCAACTGATCATTTTCTAATTCTCTGTCTTATCGTTTTCGGCATTTAAAAAAAATGTACTTTATTTCTTTTTGCTTTTTTTAAGTCCATCGTACCTTTGAATCATTCATTCTTACTGAAATGTCTGAATGTTGGGTTTTACCTTTTTTTTGCCATTTAGCATGAATTGCCTCACTGTCAGTATCATGTGTGTCCATTTGCTTAGTACGGGACTTCATTTATTTGAATTTAAAAAGTCATTCCGAACTTTTACTTTTATGTTTAATTTTCTGTACACTGTTGTCAATTCCTTTGCAACATTTTTTTGTAATTAAAGCTATTTCTGCACTTTTTTATTGCATGCAAGGCCTTTTGTTTGTTTTATGGATTACAATGTAAGCAAACTCATCCATCCAACTCCACTTCTGGAACCACGATTTCCACTGAGCTAGAGTGTGGCAAACTAATCCGGGAGGAGAGGGGAATACGGCCACAGTCCTCCATCCACACTGTGTAGAGAGGGCAGTGAAAGGTTTGTGCACGTTGGTCTTCTTACCATCAGTGAGAAGTTATCTTAATGTGTTGTATTTCGAGCAGCAAATGGGACAAGTTCAGAAGAATATTTGATCGAGTGCAAAAGATCTGATATTCTTAAAGGGCTAAAGTTGTCTTGCAAAAAAAGCCAATGTGATGATATTATTGAGGCAACAGTGCCATTACATCACTATCTGGTCTTCGCATTTAATTTGTGGTTTGTTCATTTTACAATAATGGTGAAGTTAAGCCAGTTGTCAAAATAAGGGGGCAAGATGCTATACCTCAGCAGATGGAGCAGAACGATTGCAAGATCTTTGTGAACCAACAAGTTAGAAATGTGTTTAGAAATCCATCCCATCCTCAAAATTCCTTGCAAAAGATTAAACAACCCTATTACATTTACACAATGTACATGTTGGTGAAACACACCAGAATTTATTAGATCCCTGTGCTTTTATAGTCATCTTCGCAGTTCAGTGAAGCATTGTTGTTACATGAACTTTTATTGGAATCTAACAGATAATGGAAATCTTCTTCATGGGCCATTTTCTGATTCTCACATTTCAGGTGGAGAAGGGACCTCATTGAGGTATATAAAACATGGAAATGTAACAGATAGAATTAAACCCAGAATATTACTTCAAATTAACAAAAATAATGTGGGATATACATTTACAGCGACAT